GTGGGCAGTGCAGACTTGTCCAAAGCAAGGTCCTGACCCTCTCAGCTCCTCCTGCTGTCTCCTCCGTCTTGGTACAGGGAAACTCTGTGTTTTTAAGTTCCTCAGGCCAGATGAAGTCATCCTTTGGATGTCACCCTTGACTCCTCTCACAATGTCGCTTGTCCAATCAATCAATCAATCACATGGCTCATAGTTTGAAAATATACCCAGGATCAAACCACTTTTCACCAGGCCACTGCCGCTGTGCCAGTCCAGCTCCCATCAGCCTTGCCTAGTTTTCTGCAGTGACCTCCCAGCAGGACTTTCTACTTCCTCTCTTGAGCTCCTTTAATGCAAATGGATGTCCTCCATCTCACTTGTAGTAAGAGTCAAACTCCGTAGAAAGACTCGCAAGGCCCTACGCAATCTGCCCACCCCCAGTTATCTCTGCACACTTCCACCCACCTTCCCCTTCCCCCTCCACTCCGGCTGCATCGGATTCTGCTGTTCCTCACACAGGCCAGTCACACCCCCGCCCCAGAGCCCCTGGGAGCTCCTGCCTGGACACCCACAGCCCTGGGAGAAGCCCTTACTCCTTCCCCTCCCTCAGCCCTGGCTCCAGGGTCAGCTTCCAGAGGGGCTTCTCCCAACCCCTCTGTGGAGGAACGCATTTCTCCATTTCCACCCCAGCACTCGCCTCTCCCTCCCCCCTTCCCTGGCTTTTCTCTGTAGCACTTACCGTCACCTGACATAGGGTCATTTTGCATATTCATTTGCCTATCCATATACTAGAATGTAAACTCCATGAGGACAAGGTTTTCATCTGTTTTGTCCTCCACAGTTTCCCTGGTACCAACAAAAACTGGTTCAGTGGGTCTTGATGACCTTTCTACCTCTCTCTGACCTCAATACCCGCTTTCTCAGAAGACCAGAGAATGCACCTGGTGATAGGAGGGCTTGAAAGTGATGATGGTGAGTCTAAGGCGGTGGCACCTTAATACTTCCATGAATATCTAATATTCTGATTTTTCTTTTCCAGCTTAACACCAAAACAGCCCCAGCAACCAACCAGGCACCCGGCCCAGAGGAAAAGGGTGAGTGGGGCTGGGGTGGCAGTTTGCAGAGCACGTGGATGACACGGGGACGTGAAGACAGGTAGGGCTGTAAGCCTGGAGCGCCTGAAGTCAGATGTACAGCAACGTGGACGAGTGCACCAAAGCACCAGGGCAGGACTACTGTTTCCACGGGCTTCCTTACCCTCTTTCCTGGGAAGTCCATCTAGCAACATTTACTCTTAGACTCCAGAAACTGGCTCTGGGGTGGTAGGAGACAGGCGCAACGATAGCAAAAAGCTCATCAGATAGTCCCAGCCAGTGTCTCCATCAGAAATGGGAGGGCCCTGGGCTCTGAATTGTAGGACTCAGGAGCAAGTCATGAGAGAAGACATTTGTCCTGTTGGCCCAAGAGTAGCAAAACCCCCAAGTAACTGTAACTGACTCTCAGCCTAGGTTCCCAGATTCAAACTTCCTTTTAAAATGTTTTTTTTTTTTAATTTATTGACTTTTAGACAGAGAGAAGGAAGGAGAGAGAGAGAGAGAGAGAGAGAGAGAGAGAGAGAGAGATTTGTTGTTCCACATATTTATGCATTCATTGGTTAATTCTTATATGTGCCCTGACCGGGGATTGAACCCGCAGCCTTGGTGTGTGCTCTAACCAACTGAGCTATACGGCCAGGGTTTCTGGACTCAAGGGAGTCAGCAGAGATTGGGAGACCTTCCAGAGCCCAGCAGACAGGGGGGCCTGGAGCAAGGGGCCGGGCCACCTGGGTTCCCTCACTGGTGCATCTCGTGGCAGGAAAGGCCGGCCCTGCCAAGAAGGCCGAGGAGGAGGAGGAGATCGACATCGACCTGACGGCCCCGGAGACAGAGAAGGCCGCCCTGGCCATTCAGGGCAAGTTCCGGAAGTTCCAAAAGAGGAAAAAGGACCCCAGCTCCTGAAGCAGCAGCCATGCCCTCACCCTGCTCCCTTTGTCCCCACCCCACTGCTCTGACTCCCACGCCCCTGTGTCTCTCTGTCCCGCTAGCCTCTCGCGCAGGCGAGTTTGACCCTTGTGTGTTACTTTCTGTGGCCCCCTCACGCCATCACGGCAGGAGAGACACCAGGAAGAGGCAGGGTGAAGACTCCAGCTGGCAGCCCCTGGTCTGAGGGTAGACTGGCTCCTGCTCAGGACAAGCCTCCTTGACCAGTACCTGTGCTGCCCGTGAGGTGCAAGTGGAAGAGGCTTTGAGGCTGACGAGGTTGGGGGGGACCCCTGAATGGGGGAAGGAGAAGCAAGGCTTCCAACTAGGGTGCCCGAGGGTGGGACCTGTGCACCGGTCTGCCTGTGGTCACAAGTCTCACTGCAGGTCAAGTTGTTCCCCTCACACCCTCTGCACCACCTCCCCCTCCCTCCTCTGTGCTGCGCCACAGTGGGGACCAGAGCCCTCTGTCCCAGGGCAGACCTGAGTCCAGCACCTCCCACGTTAGCTTGTGCTGAGTTCCACAGAAGGCGGTAGGACTGGGAGGGGCCAGGGATGGTCCTTCACCTCAAGGCTGGGACCCGAGGGGCAGAGGCAGGGACATGGGGACTCCGGAAGATTTGGGGAGGAAAAGGAGTGAGGGGCGAAAGTATGCTCTGTGGAAGATCCTTGGGGCATTGCTGACCTGCCTCCTCTAACCCCCACGTCCAGCCCTCACACAGACCAAGTGACCCTGTAGCCCCCACCTGTCCCACTGTGCAGTCTGGACCGAGGTGGAATAGCCACTCTGTGATTTTAGCATGTTTCATAATTATATTAAAATATTTTTAAAACCCTCAAGTGGAGTCATTTAATCTCTTCTGTTTTTTCTTGGGAGGAGTGTGAACATTGGCCAGGGCTGGCCCAGGAGAGGGTGCTGGTGCGATGACACCGGGAACAGGTGCCTGAGCACTTCACATCGAAGCCACCCCTTCCTGCTGTCCCCCGGCCGGGCCGTCACCTTGCTGCCCCACCCACGTGGTCTTCCTGTGCTGCCTCACCACCCACCCCAGCACCTACCGCTTTGCCCCCCGCCCCACACACACACCTGTTCGCCAAATGCAGTGGCAGGAGATGACTCTGGGTCACACTGAAGACTTCAAACCACGCATTAAATAAAATGATGGCTTTCAAGTGGTTTTACATTGTTGAGAAATGGCCTCTATACATTGAAACCAGAGCCAAATGCTTGAAGATCAAGCAAGGAATACTCTGTCTTCCCCACTGTCCTCACTCCTGTTCTCCCTCTCCTGACTCAAGAACGCAGGAGTTGAAACCATGTCACAGCTGTGACTAGGAAATGGGGGTGCTGCCCCGGAAGAGCACCTACCCACAGCAAGAAGCTGGCCTGTGCCTAGGTGCCCACGCTGCAGGACATTAGGCGCACTGAGCGCAGAAGCACAGGAACGCCCTCTGTTCCTGGAAGCACCTCCTCCCGCGCAGGGCAAAGGAGGAAGTTTTGCATTGGAATCTGTTCTCAGTGCAGCACAGTGTCGATGGTGGCTTTCAGCCCTGGCCTCATGGGCACAGAAAAGCATAACCTCACTGCCACACTTGCTGTGAGTCCAGCATGTGCTGGTACAGTAGGAGCAGTCCCTGTCCCCTTGTTCCCTGGAAGGTAAAGCAGGGCTCCTGGCTCCTGGGGAGGCGGCCTGAGGGGAGCTGGTGGGTGTAAGGCCCTCTCCTGCAGGCTACCGTGCTTGGAGGATGATCTGGGCCTTGGCGCTGAAATGGTTCCTTCCCTGTCCCATTTCCTGCTCTAGAGGTAGCCCCCCCCCCCCGCCCCCACCTCTTCATGCATATTTTAAGGTGGGTAGCGAACAGGCTGCAGCTCTGGGAAAGAGCTCTAACCAGAAAGAGGTTAGACCCCTTCTGCAGAACCAGTGGCGTTCTCAGCAAGGGTTCTGAGCTGGCCTGGCCTCTCTGCCTGCTGCTCACTTTCTGCCACAGGGTACCTGAGCGGAGCCCCCCTCTGCAGCCCACAACTCCTCCTGGAGCCCTGGCACACGTTTGTGTCCACCATGCCTCCAGGTCCCACCGCTGGGGACAGGGTCCCGAACACTGATCGCCGGGGGAGGGCTCAGCGCTTTGTTTTGTGAGCAGAACCTGCATGTCCTGGGTGTGGGGGGCGTCGGGGGAGGTGAGCGCTCTTGCACCAAGTGCCCAGCAGAAGAGATGGGTGCTGGAAACAGCATGGAAGAAAGCAAATGCAGTTGTCACGCCTGTGTCACTGATCACTCATTTGCCATGTTCCCGCCGTGTCCTGTCCAGAGCTGGGCTGCAGCCCTGGCAAAGGCGGAGTGGTCTGGCCGTCCGTGCAGGCGGGTGCTCTGGGACACGTTCCCAAAGCCCAAAGTGGGGGGTGACCTTGGCAGAGAGTCAGGCCGCCAAAGGGACAAGGCTCCTGCTTCCCTGGCAACCTGCTGCCAGGGGCTGGGTGTCGGCCTCCCAGTCCCGCCCCAGTGCAGGCGCGGCGTCTCCCACCTGGGTCTTGTCCGTCTCTTGTGCTTGCCCTCGCCTCTGCCCTCACGGCCGGTTACCGGGCGGCCTTTCCGCCCGCCTCTGCCTCTCTCTCCACCCCCCGCAAGAGTTGTTCGAGGGGCCCCGGCAGCCTCCTCACTCCTGCTGGACTCTCGAGCCCCACTTCCCCCTGGAAGCACCCCAGGGAGCTGCTACCTCCACCTCTTCACCATCTTCTCCCCAAGAGTGAACGCAGGGCCTGACACACAGTGTGAGCTTCGCACGTAGTGGGAGCCCACCGGGTGCTTGTTGGATGCTGGAACCTGTCTCGTGAGCCTGTTTCAGGGTTCAGTCCGTTACACCACGTAAGCCCGCCGGTAGCCCAAAGCCCAGTTCTTCACCGACACCAGCTGAGGAGGAGGAGGAGGAGCGGGGGCGGGGCGGGGCGGGAGAAGGCAGGGTGATTCCCAGGAGAACGAGGCAACTGGGGATGAGGCCGCAGCGTCTGGAAATGTCAGTGTTTATTAAACATATTAGGGCATTTGGGGGTTTGAGAAGAAATGTACAGAATGTAGAAAAATCCTAAGAATCCCCTGTGGCTGGGAGTGCAGCCTCTCCCCTTTCTCCCTACTTCCCATTTGTTGTTCCTCCTTTCCGCTTGGTTGTTCGCAAGCCACTTCTTGGGGCTCGTTGGCCCCCTTTCCTCACCCCCTGACCTGTGAGGATCTACCGTCCCTCTCCCTCCCTGGGACCCGGAGTCTCAGAACAGGGCCCTGGGGTGGTCGGGGCGCCAGTCCTGCTGCTGAGGCCTGAGGGTGGGGGGCCCCTCGGCCGGCTCTCCAGAAGGATTTTATGGGGGTGGGGAACTGCAAAATCCGCATGACGTCATTGGTACTCAGTCATGGGGGGCAGAGCAGGGCACAGGTGCACAAGCAAACACGGACTGAAAAAATAAAAATAACACCCTGAAGAAACCCTGAAGGACAGTCTGATCTGGATGACCCAGGTGTTAGCTAGGGGGGCAGAGTGTGGAGCTGGGCTGCCTGACCGGGGGCCGGGGGCGTCAGGGAGGGAAGAGGCCGAGGGGCAGGCTGGGCGGCGGTGCAGGGGGTCGGGGTGCAGGTGGCCTGGAGTCGAGGCGCGGGGTGGCAAGGTCCCTTTCTTCTCGGTGCCGGAGGGACAGGCACCAAACACACAGTCCTTGGGGGCGGTGCAGGCTGGGATCAGGCCCTGGGCTCCCAGAAGGCCAGGGGGTGAAGGTAGGGGAGGAAATGACGTGCCTGGGGAATGAATTTTGGAACGAAACTTACATCTCACAGGCTGGTGAGGGCGGGGCGGGGCGGGGCTGGGCGCTAAGGAGGAAAGCCCCTGACGGGGCCAGAGGAGCCTAGGCCCCCAGCTCTGGCGGGGCCCGGGCCCGTCACTTGTCCGCGTCCAGGCCCATCATGTTCTTGAGGGCGTTCTTGAGGCTGGTCCTGCTGGGGGACTTGACAGCAGGCCGGGGCTCCGAGCCCTGCTCGTCCTTCCGAAGCTCCATCTCGATGACCACCACCCGAGCGCCTTTGGAGGGCTCCGCGCCTGGCCCCCGAGCCCCCGCCCGGCCCGCTAACCGCTATTTCTTATCCTTGCGAGACTCCCCCAGCCCCTTGGACTTCTTCTCACTGGCAGCCTTGGTGCTCCTGCTGTGGTCCAGCATGGCATACAGCACGGGCGTCTGGGGGAGGGGCGCAGGTCAGTCACCCGGGCCCCCCCTCGCTGTGCCCGGCGGCGCCCAGGGCTCTCCTCCCCAGCGGTCCAGGCCCCGAGCCCCGCTAACCTGCCGGCCGCGCTTGGACGAGTCCTTCCCGATCTTGTGCAGCTTCCCCTTCTCCATGGCGCTGCGGGGACACGGAAGGCTGTGGGTGGGGCCCCGCCAGAGCCCCCCTGCCCGGAGCCCCGCCCCGCCCCGCGGCGGCCTCGCCCCTACCTGAGCCTCCTCTGCAGGGCCGCCTGCCTGCGCAGCCAGCAGTACCGCACCAGGTAGAAGAGCAGCAGCAGCAGCAGCACGCCGCCCAGGACGGCCCCGATGACGGCGCCCAGCACCACCCCGTAGCGCGTCGGCACTGGGAGAGGAGGGACGCCAGTGAGGGGCCCGGCGGGGACCTGGACCCGGCCGCACGCCTCTTCCCTGGCCGCCGGGAGGTACGGAGGTGGGGCCAAAGCTGCCTTCCTCCCACCGGTCCAGAGCCTGCCCAGCACCGGCCTGTCCGCCCCCCCCCCCGCCCCTTCCCCGTTCCCCGGACTCCTGCCGGTCGCCTCTCACACCTTTTTCAAAGACGTAGAGCGTGACCTGCGAGGTCTTGCCCACTATGTCTGGTGGGTTTTTGACGTCGCAGGTGAACGTGCCGTTGTCGCTGTAGTCCAGGTTGTGTATGACGATGGAGCCATCCTTCCAGCGGGGGTCCCCTACCCACTGGATGCGCTCCTTGAAGGTCCCCACCTCGTCGATGTAGGGCTGTCCCTTGGCGTAGTGGAAGATCTGGAGGAATGAGGGGATGCGTGTAGCTCTGGCCACAGGACAGGGAGGGGGCTGCTTGGGGGTGGGGGACACCACAGTGCAGAGAGGCCCTAGTCCCGTGGCAAGCATTGACACTTACTTCGCTGAAGTTGGGATTACGGCTCGTAAAGGATTTCCCTCGCCTTAGCCCAAGCTCTCTTTTCCGGTATCTTGGAAGCACCTTTCCATTACCCAGGCCCAGGGCCCCCGCGCCGGAGAACTCACCGAGATGGCATCGCGGCCCCCTTCGGGCTGGTAGCGCCAGGTGAAGGAGATGTCGTCAGAGACCCACTCGCTGGACCAGAAGGAGCAGTGCAGGGTCACTCGGGAGCCCACAGCGCCATGGACCTCCCTGTCCGTGTAAACCACGATGGCCTGGGCCGGGGCCAGCACTGCGGACACAGAGGGGGGTCAGATGTCCACCTGGGCCCGGCAGGCACCCGAGGAGGCGAGGTCAGGGGAAGTCCAGGTCACCACAGCGGGGCGGGGCCACAGCAGAGGTGGAGGCAGTGGTGAGTCCGCCGGAACCCAAGTCTCTGGACTCACTGGACAGCCGGGGGAACGCTGCGCTGGTCCCGGCTGGTCAGTGTGTTGAAGAGGCAGTGAAGGGGGGCAGCAGCTGGCCCCTGGAGGACACCCGGGAGCGGCGGTTGTCTGCATGCCTCGCTGTCCCTTCGGCCTAGTACCTAACTCTGAAACTGTCCCTCGGATGCAGACCTCATAATTTTTAAAATTTGTTATAAATCATACAGGGAATACATATCACGTTCTTCTTTTATACTATTCAAGCAATAGTGATAAAGCTGAAGTCTCTCTTGACCTCACTCCGCTAATTCCTCTCCTGTTGTCCCCTCCCAGACGTAGCCGCTGTCATCAGTTTAATGTGTTTTTTTCTGAGTCAAACTCAATATAAACTCAATAAATTCAAGGTATGTAGGTACTTACGCTTAAAAAAATATATATATATATATGAAGAATATATGTGTCTGGAAGGGGTTTCCATGTCGATTCAAAGAGACAGTCTTGTTTAAAAAATATTTTATTTAATTACTTTTAGACAGAGGGGAAGGGCGGGAGAAGGAGAAAGACAGGACCAGCAGTGTGCAAGAGACACATTGGATCGGCTGCCCTCTCACGCGCCCCCAGCTGGAGACCTGGCCTGCAGCCCAGGCGTGTGCCTTGACGGGAAATCAAACCAGAAACCTTTCCGTTCAGAGGCTGGTGCTCAATCCACTGAACCACACCAGCCAGGGTGAGGCAATCTCATTTTTAACAGCTACATAATATTTCACAGTACAGCAAACTCAACTTTCCTATGGAAAATGAATGAAGTAACTAGAAAATGTAAGTCCTCATCCCCGGTCCGACTGTTCTCACTGCGGAGTCTCCGGCTGCAACACACCTTGCTCTCGGTGGGAGGCAGCTGGGTGCAGAGCAGACCCCAAGCCCAGAGCTCGGATGACTGCATGTGAGCCCTCTGGGGTTCGACTCTCCTCACCCACCTTTTGGCCATTCTGGGTCAGTGCCACGCCCAAGGCTCACCCACACAAGGAAGGCCATTCCAGAAAGATTATGTGTGTGGGCTGGCCCTGGGCAGGGGCAACTGTAGACCCTTTTGTTCTACGGGAGGGGGAGCAAGCAGCCAAACAGGGAGACCCATTGTCTGAGCAATGTAGGGGGCTCATGCCACCCCCTCATAGTAGTCCTGAATCTCCCACCTCAGCATGCAACATCGTCAACTCGCTGTCTGGGTCCTCGGCTCTACAGCCGTCTTGGGAATCCCAAGTGTAACAAGGGAAGTTATTCATTGGCTCTGCCTCCTACTTTTCCTGTCCTAAGTTTGGCCTCTGCCCTTCAGCTCAGCCCAATGAGTGGGACAGAGCTCTTTTGCCCTGTGCCTCCAGATCCCCTCTCCCAGTCCCTCCGCATGGCCTTCTCCAACATTTTCTTGGGGGAGTTCAGCACAGCCCCGATGAATCTAGGTTTGGGTTGAGGACCCAAGAAGCTCACAGACGAGAACATCCTTGGATGGGCTGAGTGGCGCCCCCCACCCCGCCTGCACACATTTGCCTACTGCTCCAGGTCCATTCAGAGAGGAAGGGCAGGGTCCACTCAAACAAACTCTTTTGACCTTCTCTTGCTCACCCAACACCTACCACGGGGCAAGGAAGGGGTCGATCAACTTACGAAGGAAGGCAGCTTTTGATGAACAAAATCCTAAAATCTCATCAACTCTTCCTCCTACATTTTCACCCGTGTAGTAATAGACAATCAGTCCACAAGGAGAAACTGAGGCACCAGGAGTCAAAGGACCCGAGGAGCTGGGATCACAAACCCAGGACTCTTCCTGAGATCGCAGTCCCTGGGATTTCCTTTCAGGGAAACTAAGGGTTGGCACCTCCTTACTGGGCAGTGAGTAGCGGCCGGAAGCCAGGCATCTGATGCTGGTCCTTCTCTTGCCCTCACATTGCCTCCCCCAGGCCCTGAGCGTGGCTCGGGGAATGATACTGGTTTCCAACGTGAGCCCAGTCGGGGCCACCTCAGGGAAGCTGCCTGCATTCTCTTCTCCCTTTTCCCTTCAAAGAATACCTTTATGCCTCCCTCCAAACTATCTATTTTTTCTCTGAATAGAATATCTTCCTGCTCCTCCTCACTCTTTCTTCAGTTGCAGTGAGCAGTGCAGGGCAAACAGCAGGCAGTTGCTTGGAGAACCCGAGTCCCAGGCCCCCAGGCCCGGGTGGTTCCACTTACCCAAAGAGAAGAGCAGCACAGCCAGGACGGGACTGGGGCTGGACGAGGGGGCCCCAGGAGCCATGGCTGGGGCAGGGTCTGCGGGGCTGGGAGAGTGGGGGACCAGGAACTGAGCGGGGGTTCCTGGAACCTGCTTAAAATCCCCCGGGGCCCCAGTGTGAGGAGGCTGTCCTGAGCCAGTGGCCAATTGGAGCCTGGCATGTGCAGTTGAGAGGTGGTAGGGAGGGGGGCAGAGTGCAGGGAGCAGAAGGGGCATTGTGTCCTCTGGGTGGAGGGTGGGGGGACACATGCCACCCCATACACAGAGGGCTTTGTGTCTGCTGGCCTCCCCCTGCCCCAGGCTGGAATGTTGGGGGGTGAGGGAGAGGGACAGAAACAGGGACACAAACACTTCTGTGAGGACTAGGAGGGCAGGGGAACCTGAACCCTAAGGCCACAAAAAGGAGATTCCTCCCCGGACTCCTTGCCTGGCCAACGCCCTCAGAGCCCTGGGAGCTGCAGGCAGCTCCCCCGAGAGAACTTGGGAAGCAGGATGCCCACTGTTACCGTGGCCACCACAGGCTGCCCTACAGACTTTCTGAAGGGACCAGGTCCTTCGGGAGCCTCCTGTTTCCCCGTCTTCCCGCATCCTGGGCGATTCTGCCCAGATGGAAGTTTTCTCCACTGGAAAACACCCAAGGGAGAATCCCCTAATTTTCCTCTGTTTGTCAGGAAGCCCCTCAGTGCCCCAGGCTGCAGTTCAAGCCCATTTCCAGTGGCAGCGAGTCAACAGAACTGGACTGAGTGCCAGCTAAAGGGCAATGTAGGTAACAGGAAGAAGAATAAAAATGAAGTCCCTTCTTCAAGGAATTCGAAATCTAGTTTGGGGGGAAGCAGGGAGAGGAGGGTCAGAGGACAACCCCATCAACTTCAATAAATGATGCGCTTGCTGCAGAATGACGAACAAAGGGCGGGGCACACCCAGGAGGCACACACAGCTGCCACGGCAGGGAGAGGGTTTTGTAACAGAGGTTTTTCAAAAATGCGTTTTACTTAATCAGTGAAGCTCAGAGAAGGTGGGGGATCCTGTCCTGAAGGCAGGGTCAGCTGTGGACCAATCTGAAAGGATGTGTGCCATTTTGAAAAGGAGCAATGTCCCCGGGGGTGAGGTATCCAGGCAGGTAGAACGGCAAACGCAGAGACAGAGAGGTGAGAACGTGCATGTGTGTTGAGTAGGTCTGTCAAGTGCTGGGCTTGTTCAGGCAGATCTGGGGCCCCCGCCTGACTCGCTTCGGGGGAACTTCACTGCAGGGGCATCGTAGGAAATGAGTCTGTGCAGGAAATTGAAGCTGGTGTTGGTGGGCCTTGAAATACAGGCTACAGAGAGTGGATTTAACTTGCACTCTAAGAATTTCCTGAAAGATCTTGGGGTAGTGTTTGAGGCTAATGGGAGTGTCTGTATGCTCAGTGCTGAGTTTTAAGACAAATCTGGCTGGAAAAATCATTCAGACCAGAGCTCTCCTGGTTGTGGCCTCCTTTCCTTCCCTCCTTGGGATCACCTGAAATGATTGTGCTTTCATAGAACCTCTCATACTCCAACCTGGATGTTTCCCTTCTCTCTTCCCCTGCCTTTCACCCCAAGCCTTGGATATATCCTGCTTCTCTTTCTTTCTTATTTTTAAGATGAGCCTTGGTATTCAGAAGATTGACTTAATATTTGGTTTTGAGTGTCAGTGTGATTCATTTCCATTGATTACAGGCTCTGGAGGTTAATTTGAGGGTTGCTGCTGTTCCTGCTATGAGACCTCTGCAAGCTCACCTGCAAGGCCACAGCTCCTGGTACCTTCCTGGTGTCTCCCCACATCCCAGGCTCGGTGGGTTTCATGACTGGTATTACATTTGCATTATGGAAATGCACAATAGCATTTGCATTTGATGCAGAAATAACTGTATCTATGCTATTGCAGTCCTGAAAGGAAGGTGCAGGAGTGCTAAATATAATAAGGTTTGACTGTTAATGTCATGAGCACGTTTTACATCAGTGAGTTGTTGTCCGGGCCCTCCTTCACGCCTCCTCTTCACTCTCCTGTTCCTTCCTCGCCTGCTCACTCTCTCCCCGAAGTCCTAAGTGCTCTGCAAGTTCTGCAAGTGGCACTGTGCTTGGACTTCTCAGAACTGTTCATATATATATATATATGATCTAAGCGAGGTCAGCCCACCCCCACCCAGGTTATTCTGGCTGTGGGTGTCACCCACAGGCCTGAAACAAGAGACAAGGGAGACTCGTGTTGGGTGAGTGGGCGTCTGGCTGCGGGCTGCTGGGCTTTGGAGGAGCTCAGGGCCTGGGAACCGCGGCTGCGAGCGCCTCCCCACGGCCCATCCTCACCCCAGACCTGGGTCTGGACTCGCGCGTCTCCGCACGGGAGAGGCTGCACGTGAGGACGGGAGGGAACGTCTCGGGCGGCCCCCGGCACGTGTCTGACCCCACGGATGGGGCGGGGATCGGACCGACAGGTCTTGGGGAAGACTGAGGGTCAGGCCTCCCTGGTGCGAATCAAAACGAGAAACGTACATGGGAAGAGTTTGAGCCAGCGGCGTTTCTGCCGAAATTGGCAAATTCTGGGAGTCAGCCCAGGAGGCCGGGCGGATGCCCCCAAATCCCGAGAACGGCAGCCTAAACTCTCTACACCGCGGGGCGGGAGAGGGCTCCGGCACCTTTTATAGAGGCCCGCGCCGTCACGTGACAGAGGCCCCGCCCCCGCCCCACGAGGGGGCAGGGCCGTTGCGCCACTTCCGTCCATACAGGAACCCAAGATGGCTGCGCTGTTGTTGAGGTGACTTTCGTACGCGCCTGCGAGTTGGCGCCGGCGGCCCCCGGGAGACCCGCCCGGGCCGCTGGCGTCTAGCTGAGGGCCGTTCACCCTGTGCCCGGGCAGGGGAAGGGCCCGTGCGCGTGGAGCCCGTGCGGGGTCCCAGAGACCCGTTCCGGCCCGCGCCGCTCCGCGGGGGCGCCAGCCCGCTCGGCCTCCTTCCTGGCCGCGGAGGGCGCGGGCTCCCTCCCGCCCTGCTGCTGCCCCACCTCCGAGTTAGTCCTCGGGTCCCTCGGCGCTGCACGGGGGAGTCGGGCTCGGAGGAAGTGAATGCGGGCGCTCGTCCGAAACCCGGCGTGTTTTGTTCGGACCGCGCAGTAGGGCGAGACTTGGGGGTCGCAGTAAACCGGCAGTGACCTTTTTGCTGGGGACGGTGGGGCGGGAGGTCTCGGCTTTAATTTCTTAGAAACAAACAAGAAAACAACACCTGGGGGGCGCGGTTGTGCCTGTAACGGGTTATCCCTGTGGCTCCAAGAGGTCCGCGGGCGGTGGGTCCCACCGTTTCGACGTCTTTCTGAGGATTTGGGACTGGCGGGGGCAAAGCTCGACGTACTTCGCCCTTGCCTCGGACGCCTGCAGACCCAGCTGCCGGCGCGGAGTGGGCCTCCCACCGCCGCCCCCAAGCGCCCAGGGGACTCAGTTTTAATCTCTCTCCTTATTGCGGGGTGGGGGGAGTGGGAGCCCCAGTGTTTCTCTGCAGTGTCAGTTCCTGTTCCGAGAAACGCCCTAGGTTTTCTTCCGCTGACCCTAACTGCCCACGGCCGAGGCCTCCTCTACGTGGAGCCTTTCGACCGTAGCGCGTCTAGTGACTTTTCACACTCCCCGGGTGCAAATCCCAGAAGAGGTTCGTGCCAGCCCTATTTCTGGAAACTGTTTGTTATGGAAAGTTAGCTTTGATGCTGTTGAGATTTAATTCCTGGTTTACCCAAGTGTTCCCTCCTTTCTCTTTCCACTTAAGTCGCCCAGTGTAAAAATAGAGGGAGTTTGTTTAGTTTGTTGACAAAAGGACTCCTTTGGGAGCTGAGATCAGGAATGGGTTATCTTATATTTTTCTCCCTGCCTCTCATTTCCAAATGAGTCCTTTTTTCCTGACAGATGCCTTTCCCAGTCTTGCCAGAACCGCCTCCCTTCTAGTTCGTCTGGCCATAATGGAATGCTTTTGGGTTCTTTGACATCTCGTCATTTGGTAATGGTCAAGGGCTTTTGGTGGGATGGACCTCTACCTTGAAGTAATCATATTGGTTGTAAACAGTTCCTTTCCGGACCAGGTTTAGAAGCTGAGGGTCGTTCTGCTGGTGAACGGTGTTGAGACACTGTCCCGTTCGGGTCTGCAGCCTGTCGCCACCAGCACCCCGTGTCAGGAAGTAGACATTTTCACCAGTGGGGATGTGAGGCCCTGTTCCTTTCTCATGAGGGATTTCATAGGAGGGCTTTTTAACATTAAAAAATATATATATATCCTGATGAATTTCCAGTTCTAACTTAGTTCACTACAGGGGTTTGAGACTGTTTGTAGTGTGCTGGTGTAGCCTCGAAGGAGAATACCTGCTGAGAAGTTGGGAGCTGGCTTCTGATTACTTTGAAGACGTCAAGGTCATTGATTCCACGATGGTGGATTCCTCATTTGTGAGTGAATGTAGTAATAGCTTGGACCCTCTTAAGAGACATATTGGTTAGATATTTTTAATGCGTGGTTAAATATTATTAGTTATCAGAGTGCTGTATGTCATGGCTTTTGAAGAGTGCTCTGTGTTTTGTATGTTCCATTCCCTAAACAGTTCACGGATTCGCCGGCCACCGATCCCCAGCAGAACAGCGCGCTCTGTTGGCGCTCGGTCAGGGAGTGGCTTGCCAAAGCCCAGGCCGCGACAGCTAGAGGACAGCTGGGCTTCGGCCTCTCAGTGCGCATGCTGCCCAAGCAGGGAGGCAGCCGAGCCGTGAACCTTCTGGGCATCGCTCATCGTGTTAAATCCTGCATGTGAAACATCTGCAAAAATGCGTTTTACCCCTGCATTTGTAAGGCTGCTTTTCACCATGAGCGTGCTCACGCACAGACCATTTTCTTGAGCCTCTTCTACGTGTCAGACGTTATTACAGATGCTGGAGGTGCGGAGTGTTCCTGTCCTTGGGTAGCTCAAAGTCTAGCAGAGGAGGTAAATAAGTAGATTAATTATTAAGCAAGAGGATGGACGTTGCTACAGAGGTGCAGAGTGGTGCGGAGACGCTGCCGCACGGGGCTGTTGGTGCTGAGGGTGAGCCTGTTGGGCTGTGAGGGAGGCCCCGTCCCAGCAGCTTGAGCAGAGGCCTGTGGGCTTCGAGGGCTCGCCTCCTGTGTGGGGGAGGTGTGGCGGCCGTAGAGAATTCACTGGAAAGTAGGCCCAGAGCGTTGGACTGGGCCGTTGCAGAGGGCCTCGTTTGTCTGCAGTGGGAACGTGGACCTGTAGGCAGTGGGAGACAGTGGAGGACTTTCAATGAGTGGGCTCTGCCGGCCTGGGCGGGAGGGAGGAGGTCGGTGCCGGGGAGATCACGCAGAAGCTCCGTGACGCTGCTCCTGGTGAGAGGTGAGGAGCGCACCGACCGAAACAGGGCGCTGGAGTTTCCAGATCGTACCATAGGCTGGGTGATGATTGCACACACGCGGGGTGGGGTGGGGTGGGGTGGGCGGCGGAGGAAGGGAGAAACCAAGGATGACTTACCGTATATCTTGGGAGTTAGCTGCGGGCTAATCACCATCAACCAGCTTTTGTACGTAAATGATTGCTCTTCACCGTGTCTTTAGGGCCATGCATCTCTTTAGTGTCGCTGTTGTCACAGACATTTGTGGAACTTTTGGCTTACCGTCAGATTCAATTTAGAGGTCATGTAAGAGAAACTCATTATAATACAGTCACATGTTGCTTTGGACCAAAAATGGGTTTATTCCATTTGATCACGTAGATCAAATTGAGTGGCTTTTGGTTTTCTGCAGACATCAGATTCCTTTTCAGCAGATGAGTGTTTTCATCACCACTGACGGTTTTAGTGGGCGTGATGCGGATTCTGAAGACCTTGGGGAGGCTGATGGAATATTACTGTCTTCCATACGTGTGGTACATTGCAGTTTAGAGAAAGCTTTCCTGTATATTTCTCATGGAACCTTCTCAGCAAAAGCCAGGCAGGTATATCAATTGCATTCTGTGAATGAAGAATTGAAGCTCAGTGACTCGCTGAAGGCACACAACGGAGGCAGACCTAGAACTCGAATCTGGCGTAGGACTTTGTCCGGTGCTGTTCTGCGTCGCTGTGGTTGCCCAGTCCAGAGGAGAGCTCTGAAAACGTAGCGTTGCAGGGAGACGCTTGCAGTGCACTCAGAAGGGAGCAAACCTGACTGGAGATTAAAAGTTCTGGGTGTGTGAGCTTAAAGTAGCACAAAGAAGGTACTGTTCCCTTCTAGCTGTAACGTTTAAAGCACTATTCCTGGGGGGAAGAGAAACCTTTTCAGAGTTCCTGGTTTCCCATAAAAGGCAAGGACTGGTAACTCCTGTCACATTCCAGACCAGGCTGTGGAGTTTGTGCAGCTAGTTTCTGTCAGGGCCTCTGCAAAGTCGACATTGGTGTTTGTCTGGGAAACAATAGCCCTGGACGGGGAGGCTGAGATTCCAGCCCACGTGTGCCAGCCCTCCCTGGGAGCCTCGGGCCGGGGCTCGCCGGGCGCAAGAATGCGAGGCCCAGCGTCCGAGCCACAATCCCTGCCATTGATGGGAGGAGGTTTGCTCCCACTGCTGTCTTCCGGGAGCCGTGGACACACAATGTCCACATTCACCTCGTGCCTCCGAAGCTGGAAGGAGGGAAGGGCTGAAGGAAGTGCTAGTCGGCTTAGTTGTCCTTCAAGTGGTGGGCCCCTCTAGTGTCCTGGTGTGGATCGCGAGGCTCCTGAAATGCTGATGCATCTACTCTCAGTGGGGGAGCTTGGGGCACGAGGGATGGGCCACCAGCCACTACCAGGGTCCTGACGAGACCTACCCCTGCGGGGGTGCGGTGGGACAGAGGAGAGACATGGGAACTTCTGTGGAGTCGGCGTATTTTACATTGCAGCCCCAGAGCTGCCCTCTGGTCACTTTCTTCAGTACCTTCACAGCGGCTTGAGACAGTAAAGTGAGCCGGGGTGTACAGGTGATGCCGTCCCAGTCTGTAAGCCCTGGGTCATTCGGCCCTCCGATAGAATGCCGGCACACCTCAGTGTCAGACGTGAGAAGGAGCGGCTTCCCAGTGGAACACTGGTGCGTCCTCCTCAGGGACCTTTTCCTGTGCGCAGTGAAGGCACCTCTGTGTTCCCGTGTCTTTGCATTGTTACACGAGAGACTTGGGCTTGGAGTTCGCCCAGGTTGTCTGAAACTTGATGTGGTTCCTAAAGCGAGAGCTCAGTGTTTGGGGCCCTCGGGTCACGGACTCCTGTTCCCCCACCTTTTAATCCCCCTGCAGGAGGCAGCCCCCGTAGCTAAGCTGGGGCTGGGGGTTGCCAGCAGCTCACCCTGTCCTTTCCCTCAACTCGTGTCTCTGACCCATCCTTCACGACCCAACTTCCAGGTCCCTTTCCCTGTCTCCCTGTTAGGTGTGGCCGACTGTGGTCATGATTCACCTTGCATAGACTGTGTTCAGCCGAAACTCTGTTTTGCATTTCTGGGTAAGATTTGTGATTGTTCTCCAGTTATTTAAAGTTGTGACTTTTCTACTAGAAAATAATCTCAAGGACACGGATGCTGTCACTTTTCCCACCTTATCCATGGTGTCCCACCCCACCCCTGAGTGGGCTGTGGGACGGACGCTGAGTGCGGTCTCCCGAGGCCCACCTGGAGTGCTCGCTGACTCCGGTTCTCTGTCCCACAGGCACGCTGGCCGCCCCTGCCTCCGAGCCCGCCTTGGTCCTCAGCTCTGCATCCGAAAGTAAGTTGCTGGGTCTGTGGGTATTATTATTGCTTAATTTTCTCCCTTTGGGGAAAGCAGTAGATTGTTGGCTTAGATTTGGGGGCCACATATGAAAGAAAGAAGCTGCAGTGGGGGTAGCTGAAAATACAGGGGTAGTGGTCGCTTTTGCCTGTTGAGCCATAGAAGGAAAGACAAGAATATTTCTTTAGTCTTCTGTTGATTTTCCTCACTTTCAGCTTGTCTGCTGTATCTGACTACACTGATGTAATCCAGTTCTGGGTTCCTTCTTTGGTATCTAATTTTCTTCTTTCCTTTCTGCTTAGTCTTTCTTCCTTTCATACTTTCTTTTCTTGTAACCTTTAGTTCTGGGCAGGAATTAGCCCTCAAATGTATTTTCCTGCTACACTCATTTCTACCCTGTTGATTGCAACAGTTGTCTCTCTGTTCTTTTTTTTAACTTTTAATTCTGGAAATATACATTCAGAGAAGTTGGGAGAATAATACAGTGAAGGTCTGTACACTGTTTACCTAGATTCATCAGTTATTAAAATTTTGCTGTGTTTACTTACCAGTATGTATTTTAGGTTGTATCATATGTAATTGGTATTTTTGTAGATCTAAACTGGCCTAATATTGATAACTTAATGTAGTTTGTTGCATGTTTAATTATTATTATTTTCTCTGGATTCCTTGCAATTACATTGCAGGAATCACGATGCTTTACTTTGCTTCTCTCAGGAGGGTGGAATCCTGTGTGGTGTGGGCACATGGTACATTAAACCGCTGGACACAGCTGTCTCGTGGTTGGCGTCAGCCTAGCCCCGGGCCAAGGGGGGGGCCAGGAAGCCGTGCAGGGGCGCTGAGCCGAGTGCGCCTTGGGGTGTCACAGGCCTGAAAGGGAGACTCGAGGAGCCAGATGAGGGCAGGCGGGGGTGTGCGGCGGCACACGCGGCTGGGAAAGGGCCGTGCGCTTGTGCACGAGCTTCTGAAGTGGCCTGTCTGCTTCGGTGCGCAGCCGGGGTGGGGGGGGTGTCTGTCGGGGGGGCTGTGTGTCGTGGGCCGGGAAGGAGCCTGATTGGACCTTGCTGGGCGGTCGAGGTTAATGACCGAGTCAGACGTGCATAGAGGTGAGGGGAGTGGACGCCCATGTTTTCCTCACACAGTGGCTCATCCAGCACAGCTCACCTTTTTTATTTCAACGTTTTGTTATATAAAAAACTTAAACCGACTTTACTGTTAATCATGTAAAAACCCTCCGGTTTCATTGCAGTGCGGTTCCTTTGGGAACCACGGCCAAAGAAGAGATGGAGAGATTCTGGAACAAGAACCTTGGGTCAAACCGCCCCCTGTCTCCTCACATCACCATCTACAGGTGAGGGCTCTGGGGCCAGGAGATCCGGAGGAGCAGGCGGGAGTCCCGGACTGGCCCGCAGCCCCCTGGTTGTTTTCCTCAGGCCTGTTGTAAAGATGACTGAATCCTATCTTCTGGCCTTAGAAGGGTAGTCTGTCTTACACAGCTGCCATTTGGGAAATCCTGGCATGTCAACATGCTGTCAGTTTAAAAATGTTATTTTGAAACAGTTTTAGATTTGCGTGAGTGTTGCAGAAAGAGCACACACGCTCCGTGCACCGTCATGCAGATTCACAGGGTGTTGCATGCCCGAGGGACTTAAGGGCAGGTGCAGAGGCGACGGCCCCGACGCTCCTGTGTCACGTTTCTGTTCCATCGCCAGCAAGGCAGCACAGACTTTGTGGCCTAAAGCAGCACATTCGTTGCCCCCAGTTCTCTGGAGCCTCCCTGGGCTAAAGTTGGGGCGGGGACAAGGCTGGTCCCTCTGGCGGCTCTGGGCCAGATGGGCTCCTGGTCTTCCCAGCTGCTGGAGGCTGCTCTGGATTCCTTGGCTTGTGGCACCTTTTCTGCATCTTCAGAACCGTCAGTGATGGGTCAAGTTCATCTCTGGTCATCAGTTGACTGGCTTCCATGGACACATTTCTCTGACTGTCCTCTCCTGCCAGCCTCTTCTACATTCAGGGACCCTGTGAGTCTCGGGCCCGTCCAGATAATCCAGGCTGGTCTCCTTGTCTTTAGGTGAGCCTATTAGCAGCCTCTGTCTCCTCTGCAGCCTTCAGCACTCACAGGTTCCGGGGACTGGCGTGTGCGCGTCTTTAGGGAGGTCGTTACTCTGCCTGCCTCGGTCCCTTGACCCTTCGGCATGTGCCCCCTGAGTTCGAGGACTCTCCATTGTCCAGTCGTCCCACGCAGGAAATGACCGCTGACCCAGGTCCTGTCTGTCCCTCAGCCCTTGCCACGTTTGCCGGCCATCCCAGTAGTGTCCTTCCTAGGCCCTGCATCCCACCGAGATTCAGTGTTTTACTCCCTCCTGATCGTTTATGGCCTCGACACTTCCAGGACATCCCTCGGTCTGGCCTGCCCGGTGCGCCTTTGTGACTTGCGTGTTTGGGCAGGAGCTCTCCGGGGTGCCGTGCTCTTGGCGCCCGATGGTTCGTCTGTCCCGCTACTGGTGCCGGGAACCCTGTTGTCGCTGGGTGAGGGGTGTCTGCGGGGTTTGTGTGTTCTGGTGAGTGCTGACTTCGTGGGGACACACACCTGAGGCTGAACATTCTGTTTCTCGTCACACTTTTACCCACCTCAACCCATTGTTACTGTGCTGGGCTCCAAATTGTGATGTTTCTGATTCCGTCGTGCCTTTTCGATTTCTTTATTGCTAGGGTCAAGCCTCCTCTCTTACTGGTACAGATGCAAGGGTCCCTCGGAGGAGAAGCACGCTCACTTCTCTCTACTCTCGTGAAACCAACTAAAGGGAAACCACTGCGGTTTCTTCCCCACTCAGCACTTCTGCCGCGGGGTGTGTAGGGTTGTTCCCACGCCAACCAGTTTCCCAGCTGCGGACGCCAGCTGGGCAGCCTATGCTCCAGCTGCGGCGCCCACCCCTGACGTTAGCGCAGGCCCGCAGGTGAGGGGTGCGGTGCCCACCCCTGCCCCTTGCTTCACGTGATGGTCCTGGGCTGTGGCCTGTACTTGGCTGGCCAGCTGTCAGCAGGGCTTTCCCCGACTCCCTGCTTGGGTTCAGGGGTTTGGGCTCCTGGAGCCTGGAAACGTGTGCTTTCGTTACCTAGTTGAGTGTGAAGGGTGTCGCAGAGGAGCAGCCAGGTGCCCTTGCAGGCACCTCTCTGCGTGAAAGGTCCTGGTCACAGGAGCTCTGTCCCCGTGGAGTTGGGGTGCCCCACCCTCCTGAAAACTGTGATCCCCGTACTTTTGGGGTTTCTGTGGAGGCCTCATCACCTCCATTCATCCTTCATCACAGGATCCATTAACCTCTAGCCCCTCCCGCCTCCCTGGAAGAAGGTGGAGGTGGGGCTGAGGCCGAAAGTTCAAGCTTGTGATCATGTTCTGGTCTTTCTGGTGACAGCCCACTTTCAGAGCCACCTCATTTGAACAAAGGACGCTCTTTCCACCCAGGGAATCCCAGTGGATTTAGGAACTGTGTCAGGAACCAGGGTCAGAGACCAAATATTCCAACAGAAGATGCTCCTAGCGCCCCATCACTCGGGAGATCACAGGGGTTTTAGGAGCCAGAAACAGAGAGGTGGAGGTGGATAGATGTCTTAGTGGTTTGGCCAAAGGGCTGCACTGTTACTGTCGTCTGTTTGATGTTCGGACTGTCTGGGCCTCGGCTGGTGCGTCTCCTGTGGAATCGTGATCTGGGCTGGGTGTGCTGCGGTCACCAGGGTGTCGTGGCGTCCAGGCCCAGGCCCTGTCGGTGGAGCGAGCCGGGACTTGTGTGTGCACACAGCCGTGTGTGTCCGTTAGGTCGTGTCCTCAGATGCAGCATCGATGGCTGGCATGCCAGCGCCCACCCCGAGACCTGCTCCTTTCCAGCTAACCCAGCATCTCGAGCTCTGCCGCCCTCTTGCTTGGGCTCCCGCCAGGGGGGCTGGCCGTGCTTTAACCGCCTCCACAAATACCACCGCCCTTCAGATTTCTCCCAAGCCGGATTCCAGAAATAATTCTGATTGCAGGGTTGGATGAACATCCCTCGTCCAAACAGAAGAACGTTGATGAGGGACCTCAGCCCTCACTACTTTACGGTGAAAGTCTTTAAGATAAAAGATTTGGGGAGGATTCTAATGGTGAAGAACTCTCAGATTATTCTGAATCTGTACTTCAAGCCAGGGCCTTTTTTCACAGGTCATATTACAAATGGTGGTCGGGTGATGAGCTTTGTCTTGGTTTGAAACTTGAGACACGTGTGGAGAAAAGAAACAGCAGCGACTGTGGGGCTGCTTCCCAGGTGACGGGTTGGGAAGGAGGTCCGAGGCGTCTGGACCCATGTTGTGTCACTGAGCTCTGGAGGTGTTGGGGGAGGCACGGGTGCAAGGGTGAATAAGCTACAATCTGTGTTCAGGAGGATGCCAGTGTGTCCTGAAAAAGTGTTTATCAGGAAAGTCACAGGCTGCTAGTGACGGTCTTTTCTGCAAGTGGGTCCGAACAGTCCTGACTGTATGCACTGGACTTGTGAGTTTGAACAGGAGATAGCAGGACGACTTCACCCCGTGGTGTCTGGGGCCTCCGCTGGAACCCACAGGGGCCAGATGAATCTGAAGACCCACTTCCTCACGTGTCTTGGGTTGGCTCAGGCTGTTAGATGGCCTTCCTCTTCTGTCCGCATGACGTGCTTCACAGGCTGTTGTGGGCTTCCCCAGAGGAGGAGGAGGGACCTGGGGATGGATGGGCGGAGAGACAGAGGGGGAGGGACATGGGGACTGATGGACAGTGATTTGGGGCTCAGGCAGTGTTGCTTCTGCTGCATCTTGTTCCTTGGGCAAAACCCTGGTGATGTCCTCTTGCCTGATGGGCAGTGATGAGGCCCTAGAACATCCCCCACCCCCGCCGGGGGGCGGGGCTGGAAGTGTTGTGCTTGTCTGGAAAATGAACTCTCCTTACCTGCGCCGCACCAGGCCAGCCAGACCGAGGTTTCTCCCGTCTCCAGAAGAGACAGCCAGGGCGATCCGCGAGTCTCCTCCCTCTGGCCTGGGGCCCCAGGTGCCCTGGGGATGCTGAGCTATGTCTTGCTTTCCCCATCTCTTTCTCTATTTTTATTTTATTTCTCTCAAATCGGTGTGTACTCCGTCTCTCTCTGTCTGACAGCCCTTCTCTCTGACAGCGTAGTTGAGTGATCTGCTCTGTCCCTCCAGCCAGCGGGCTGTCTGTCCTGGGGACCGCTGCAAAGGCCCCATTTTGTTGTCCTGGGCATTTATTTTTGCAGCCTCAGCTCCTTCTGGGTTCCAGTCTCCTGATTTTTCTAACGAAAGGATGCCATTGTTCTCTGTTGTCCTTTGTTATGTGGCTCTTCTCCCGCCTTTTGTGCTTGTCCTGTTCAGGCTGAGTCCAGAGCAGTGCCTGGCCAGCTTTCCCGGTTTCTCTGGGCATTATTCCTCTCTTACCGTGACTATTTTCCTTACATAGACTCTTTCTGAGATCTCTTTAACCTACTTGCGTGTCGAGTGCATGGTCTGGTTCTGCTCAGAGCGTCCGCTCTGAGCTGGCTCTCCAGGACAGAGGCGCTGCTGGCCTCCCCAGCTCCTGACCAGCTCCCTCTGGGCCTGAGGATCAGTCCCGGGGATAGCAGGGTGGTTGTCCTCCGTAGAAACACTGGGGAGATTGGCGATTCTGAACATAATTAAAAAAGTGGTTTGATGAGAAAGTACTTTGGAGCTACTGTGGATTAAGAAGCATACTAAATCCAGCAAAACTGGGTTAAAAAGTTTGGAATAGGCGATTTATTAAGGAATAATTGGAATGCTCAATGTGGGTATTTCGGGGTGCACAGTGTCGTAGGTACCGAGAACAGAAGGATGGCTTCCAGGCGGCAGGGGTTCTGCAGGGCTGGTTGGAAAAGGTGCAGTGATGAGGAGGTGCTGGCTGCTAGTTACAGCAAGAGTCACGGGCGTATCGTCAGGAATCGTGCAGGAACTCGCGCTGTCAGAGGGGCTCACCAGGGGTCGCCTCGGAAGCCACGCGAACGTCCAGTCACGATGCTCTGCGCCTCAGGCTAACACGACGTCGTCGTGTGTCAGCTGTGATGGGAAAGCGCACTCGGGAAGACAGCAGGGCCCGAGGGGGACCGAGGGCGTGTGAGGCAGCCGGTGAGTGAAGCTCACGTGGGTTCCCTTCGGCTTCAGTCTTGCGCCCGGGAGACCGCAGGGCCTTGCAGTCTGGCGACTTGCAGGGGCGTCTTCGACCCGAGCTGTTTCTGCTCCGCGGGGGGTGGGCGAGTGGAGCTGTCACTGGTTCTTCCTTTCAGCCCCGTCAGCGCCGTCGGGTCTCGGGGACCACACTGCTCCCGCGAATCAGCGCTCTAATCCCCAGACAGAGGAGCGCACACAGGAGTGGGAAGGCTGCTCGCTCTTCGTGTTTAAATGCTGGCCGTTCCCCCAGCGGTTCACGTTCTCTCCGCGGGGGGGGGGGCACGCTCGTGGGGCGCCGTCTTTCCCTTCGTTCAGGCGCCTGTGTCTGTTTCTCCGCAGGTGGTCCCTTCCCATGGCGATGTCCATCTGCCACCGCGGCACTGGGATAGCCTTGAGTGCAGGTATGTATGTGTGTGCACACGCGTGTGCACGCACACTCGGTGAAGAACTCCGCTGTTTCTTCGGCTCGGCACCACCTCCTTGGCAGCGCGGCAGCTTGAGTTAGAGAGAACGAGTCCATGCCGGCCCGCGGGCCCTTCGTTCCTGTGACAATTAACTGCGAGCCCCGTTACGCTCAGGTCCTAAAGGGTGTTAAAGCACCCCTAGCACGTCCTGCTGGGGTATTTATTGAAGTCACAGAGGGCAGAGACGCAGGGACGTGTAGTAGAGGTGGGTGGCTGGCTGAACAGGGCCTAGCATAGCCGCCAGCCTCGTTCTCACAGAACCTCACTCAGCCTGCGCCCCCACCCCTTGTCCCGGCGCGGGTCGGGCCCGCAGACTCGCTCGCTCCCCAGCTTCACGGCGCCCGGCGCAGGCCCGGAGGCCCGTCTGCGAGCGGTGTGGCGCAGCTGCCGAGTGGCGTGCGCTGGTCCTCCTTGGGCAGCGAGGGTCGTCCCTGGTCCGGGGTGCACGCGCGAGGAGGTGTCTGGGGCCTGGTGTGTCTTTCCACAGGATGAGGGCCAGCTGTGTTTTAAAATTTCCTTTGGCTAATGCTGGAGACACGCACATACTGTTTTTCATGATGTCCTCCAGGGCCCTTCCCGGGCTTCCGAGGACCGTTCCCCTGGAGTGGTCGTCTGCAGGGCTGGGGCCGAAACGCAGCAGCCTGTGCTTAGGGAGCGGCATGCAGCGAGACCGTGGCGGGAGGAGTCCAGAGCTAACTCTCCCCGGTTGGTAGTCAGATTAGTTCTGTTGGTGACCACGTGAGGGCGGGAACTCCCCGCTGAGGTCGGCGGCCATTCCTTTGGCTGGTCAAGGGCCGGTGGGACCCAGGTACAGGGTGTGACCGGCGTGGCCTGGGAATCCGTGGGTAGCCCCTGGTTTCTAACCGACTTGCGTGAAGCAGTGGGGTGCACTTCCAGATGAGGCTGTGTGACTGGAAGGTCATAGTTGGGCTGTTTCTGCTGACTCGAGTCCTGCCGTGAGCAGACTGACACCTGCTGCTCAGTGGGTGGTGCTGGTGGGCAGACGGGAGGGGGAGCAGCTCGTTCTTGGGCTGCAGGTCCCACTGTCACCGAGCATGCGAGTCACCCTGACTGGCAGTGGTCCAGGTCAGGAGCATGTGATGTGAAAGTATTCGTTTGCTAACCATGGCCAAAACTGAATGTTCATTTGGGGAATGTTATCATTTTATTTTTTAATATTATTTTATTTTTTAAATTGTATTTTATTGATTATGCTGTTACAGTTGTCCCAGTTTTTCCCCCTTTGCCCCTCCCCACCCAACACCCCCAGCTCCCTCGGGCAGTGCCCCCACCGTTGTTCGTGTCCATGCTGTGCGTGTGAGCTCTTCGGCCGCTCCGTCTCCTACGTGTTAGTGTGCATCCCCTGGCCGTTTTGTGACTTCCCGTTTTCATGTCTCAGTCTGCTCGCTTCCTCGCCCGTCCCCCACACCCCCTCCCGTCGGGCAGCCATCAGAATGCTCTCTGTGTCCGTGATTCTGTCTCTGTTGTTCTTGTTTGCCTAGTTTGTTTTTGTAGATTCAACTGTTGATAGGTTTGTATTTTTTGCCATTTTATTGTTCATAGTTTTGATCTTCCTTTTCTTAAATAAGTTCCTTTAACATTTCATGTAGGTAACGGTTTGGTGATGACGAGCTCCTTTAGATTTTTCTTGTCTGGGAAGCTCTTTTTCTGCCCTCCCGTTCTCAATGACAGCTTTGCTGGAGAGGGTGATCTTGGATGTAGGTCCTTGCCTTTCATGACTTTGAATATTTCTTGCCAATCCCTTCTAGCCTGCAAGGTTTCTTTTTCAGAAATCAGCTGACAGTCTTATGGAAACTGCCCTGTAGGTAACTATCTGCTTTTCTCCTCCTGCTTTTAAGATTCTTTCTTTATCTTTAACCTTTGGCATTTTTAATTATGAGGTGACTTGGAGTGGGCCTCTTTGCATCCATCTGTTTGGGGCTCCCTGTGCTTCTTGGACTTGCGTGACTCTTTCCTTCACCAGATTAGGGAAGTTTTCTTCCAGTGTTTTTTTCAAATAGATTTCCAACTTCTTGCTCTTTCTCTTCTCCTTCTGGCCCACCTATGATGCGAATGTTGGACCTCTTGAAGTTGTCCCAGAGGCTGCTTATACAATCCTCATGTCTTGGGATTCTTTTTTTTTTTTTCTTGTTTTGATTGGTGGTTTTTTGCTTCCCTGTGTTCTATATCATTGATTTGATTCTCGGCTTCATACACTCTACTGTTGTTTCCCTGTAAATTGTTCTTTATTTAAGTTGGTGTATCTTTTGTTTCTGGATCTTTTTTATGCTGCTGAGGTCCTTGCTGAGTTCCTTGACCATCCTTATTACCAGTGTTTTGAACTCTGCGTCTGATAGGTTGCTTATCTCCATTTCGTTTTAGCTCTTTTTCTGGAGTTTAGATCTGTTCTTTCATTTGGGCCATGGTCCTTTGTCTCTGTGTTTTGGCAGCCTCCCTGAGTTTGTTTCTATGTATTGGGTAGAGCTCTTTTGACTCTGTCTTGGTTTAGTCGCCTAATGCAGTAGGTGTCCTGCATGGTGCAGTGGCCCAGCCTCCCCTCTCACCCAGGCTGGATACTCGAAGGGTGCCCCTGTGTGGGCTGAGTGCACCCTCCTCTTGTGGTCGAGGCTTGGTGGCTTATTGGCAGGTCAATGGGAGGGATTTACCCAGACCAGTATGAATGTATTTTTTTTTCACAACTGTACTTAATAATTATTTGTGTTGTTGCCGTCGCTGTTATTGTTATTCTTATGAATGGCTGCGTGTTCTTCAGCTTAGATCCTGGTCTTCCCAAGCTGTGTGCAGGCTGGTTCTGTAGGCCAGTGGTCCCTGTGCTCCTCCCGTCCTGCAGGGACAGGGCGCTGCCAGGTGGGCGACGTGGGCAGCTCGTGCACTCTCCGTGCCTCGGGCATTCCTTGTAAAGTGGGCAGATCAGGCCAGTCCTGGAACTGATGGGATTTCAGGGAACTGGACCCTGGGTGCTGACTCACGGAAACAGGGTGAGCAGCACAGTAAGCAGGTGTAACAGGAACAGTCTCTCGGGGGGCCGGGCACTGGACCGGACAGCGTCCCGTTGTCGGCCAGAAATGAACCAGTCCAGCAGCCGTGATCTGTGTGTTCCGGGGCACACAGAACAGCAAGAACGGTAAGAAACCCCTTGAGTAAGTTGAGTCATGTCCCGCTTAGAATCTTCCTGTTACTGTTACGTAGCACTCTCTGCCTTTCTCCTTCGATGAAAGTTCAGATCTTCTCTGCGGCCTAAAGTGCCTGGTCTGGCCCGTGCCTGACTCCTCACTGCCTGTCCTCCCCCTGCCTTGTGCCCCCTGCCCCCTGCCCCCTGCCCCGCCCCGCCCCCGCCACCCTGCCCTTCAGGCCCTGGCACAGAGCCGCCGCACGCGGTCTCCCCAGACCTGAAGCTCGCGCCCCCCATGCGTCTTGCGTGCTCAGGTCCTCATCAAAGCTGTCAGCTCACAGAGTGCTCTGCCGACGGCCACATCCAGAGTAGCTGCTGTTTCTAGATCTTGCTACATTTGTGTTTCTGTCACAATTTTCATTACGTAATTTGTCATTACTTTGTTTGCTCGGTTTTAGCCTATCTTACATACTATTCACATCCACTAGCACTCAGTAGGTGCTTAGGGAATTTTTGTTTGCTAAACGAACACCTGGGGATGTTTGCTTATTCCTCCGACCTTCTGGTTAATCTGTTATGCATTGGAAACTGGGGCTGATAGTAATGGCCTCTCCCCTCCAGGGTAGAGGCGGCCAGGAGTAAGACATATGAATACTCATCATGCGCTGTGGTGGCCTTTCAGTCGAGATGAGGTCCCAGGGCCGCAGCCAGCTGAAGGAGTCGCAGGAAGGGTGGCTGGGAGCCCACGAGGAGCAGGGGAGGAGGGCGGAAGGACCCTGTGCAGGGCATGGGGTGTGGGGTGCCCGGTGCAGGGGGTGGGGGGGTGCCGACGGCCCTGAGACCGGTGGGGACACAGCCCTGCCAGCTGTGGGCATCACCGAGGTTGGCGTTCTCGTCCGTTCCAGCGATAGGACAGCTGGCCCAGACAGGCCCACGGGAAGACTTACTCACGCCGTAGGGATTCGATGGCCAGTGCAGGAATTCTAAAATGCATGTTGTGTGATGACACTAGTGTGACTCTAAAGTAGAATTTATTGAAAAAGAACTTCACAGACAGTCCCTTAAAAGTTGGAGAGAGATGGCTAGTAACACTCTTCCCTTGCTGAGGTTCTCTAGGGGTTAAGCACTCAACGATTTTTCATGCTGACAGATGGAAGAGAAATCTGGGGGAGCCCAGGTGAATTCCTTGAGAACGTGGGTGAGAACTCAGAGGGCGTGGACAGGTGAATCACCCAGATGGACAGACAGCAGTGAAAGGAAGGGTCAGGAGAGGGAAGTGTGGGTGTGTTGGGGGAATGCAGCTGGAAACAGGCTGGGCGGCCGCAGAGCCGGCCCGTGCGGGGCGCTGGCTGTGGCCGGCGGCGGCCGTGACAGGCCTGTGCGTGTGTCTCCTCAGGGGTCTCTCTCTTCGGCTTGTCGGCCCTGGTGCTGCCTGGAACCTTCGAGTCGCACCTGGAGCTGGTGAAGTCGCTGGGCCTGGGGCCGGCGCTGATCCACACGGCCAAGTTCGCTCTCGCCTTCCCTCTCGCCTACCACACCTGGAACGGGGTCCGGCACCTGGTGAGTCCGTGGAGGTGGGCGTGTTTCCCGGGCGATGGGAGTGGCGGGGCTGGGAGGACCCTGTCATTCCCAGTCTGGGTTCGGTGCTGTCCTGAAGGTTGCCCGTGTGGGGCCTCGGCCCGGGGCCGGCGGGGGAGCTGACCGGGATGGAGCTCAGGCCTGGCAGATACTCTGCCCGTTCTGAGAGGGTTGCTCGTGAAAGAGGCCCCTGCAGCCAGGTCCCGCGGCGGCACGGAGGGCACAGGTGTCAGGCAGGCTTGGCACCTGCTGTGTCCGGCACAGGGTTGCAGTGCGAGCAGGTGAACAGCTGCTGTTTCAGCCCCCCCACGCCCACCGCCCAGAGCGAGAGCTGGTTCTGGCCTTTGTGTGAGCTGTTGGAGAAGGTGGGCCAGCTTCAGCAGACCTCGGCCTGGGGCCCCAGAGTGTGCTCCTGGGTGTAGGCCTCTCTTGGTGGCCTGAGGACTGTCCTTTGGGACCTCGGGGTCTGCTCAGACAGGTGTCCCCTCTCACAAAGGAGATGGCTCCCCCCCAAGCACTTTGGGCTCCCAGACACTGTCCTCTCCTTGCCCTTGGTCTTGCCGTCTTTTCTGGGAGACTTGCACTTCCGTTCCTTCTGGTTTCCATCAGCCCGAGGCCTCTGCCCTTCGGTGCTTTTGCCTTAATCTGACCTTTTATGACCCCGCCTTGGAGCCCAGAGACGCGCACTCTAGGGACGTCCGCCTGGTCCCGTGGCCGGGTCAGTGGATGGAAAAGTGGGCGGGAACGACCTGTGCCACTCGGCCTGTCTGCCCGCTGGTCCTGGGGCCCCGTCCAGCGGTCCAGGGTGACGTGGCTTCCCCGAAGGGGCGCGTCCGGAGGAAGGGCATTTCCTGCCTGGACTTCTTGTCCCCAGACCTGAGCTCTCTCCTGGGACCAGTGACCCGCTTCCTCAGTCACCTCCTGGCCCTGGCAGGGGTTGGGGGGAGGGGCTTTGCAGAATCTCAGGCCAAGGTGAGGCTTCTCTTATGCCCAGTGAGGTTCTGCTTCTCTCCGGAGTGCGGAGCAGGGCCTCTGTTGTCGGTGAAGGCCGTGGCCCCGTGGGCTTGACGGTCACCTTGCAGACAGGCAGTGGGGAGTGGAGAAGTGACCGGTCTCCGGTGGCCCGGAGAGTCACCCCCACCCCGTCACTGCCACCAGCAGCGCTTTGTCTGGGAAGTCTGCAGTCAGATGTCTGCGGACGCAGCCACAGAATTCCCCCATGTGACCCTTTTGGCTTCCTGAGGGCCCAGGGTGTGGAGGGACACCCTCTGGGCAGCAGCACCGGTTTGGGCGTCGTTGGGAAGGCTTCACTGGTTCCATGTGGAAGCTCTTGTGCAGGGGACAAGGGTGCCTTTCTGTCCTTGGGGCAAGTGGTGGCAGGCGCCGCCCTCTGGGTGTCTGCAGGTGATGGTGGGCGTGGGGAGGAGGCTTTTCTCTGGACCCCGCTGACGGGGGTCTCCCTCTGAGAAGGGAGCTGTGACAGTGGCCAGGCTGCTGTTTGCTGACACTCTGTCCCTTTTCCTTTTCCCTGCAGATGTGGGACCTGGGCAAGGGCCTGAAGATCCCGCAGCTCTACCAGTCGGGTGTGGTGGTCCTGGTTCTCACTGTGCTGTCCTCCGTGGGTCTGGCGGCCATGTGAGCAGCTCGAGGCCCCGCTCCGTCCTCCCGCAGATGATTGATTAGGGGGCCTGACTTCCTGTTGTCACCCTCCCTCCAGCCGGGGCAGCGTCTCCCGGTGTGTCCGACCCTCTTGTGCTTGCAGTTGCCCTTGAAGCTCAGCAGCAGAGCCCCTTCGAGAAGCACAGCCGGGGAGCGGGGCCGTTTCCCTTGCTCCTAAAGGTGGAGTAACACAGAGACTCTCTTTTCCTGCCCCCGCGTACCGCCGGCTCTCGTCCTGGGGGCCCCTTCCCTCCTTGGTTTGTGCTGAGGGTCAGCTCTTGGCTCCTTCTTCCTGGGGCAGTGGAAACAAAGCCAGCTCTGTGGCCCCTGCTGTGGGGACTGCGGGTGGGGCTCCGGGTGCCACTGCCTGTGGGCTGCTGGCTCACAGGACAGTCCTGCCTGGGGTCTCCCGCACCCACTCGGTGGGGGCTGGGGAGGAGGCTGGTCCCAGCTGGAGGGGGTGAAGAGGGTGAGTTGGCTCTCGGAGGGTGTGCTTTGGGGAGAAGATACATAGTTTTTGATCAAGAGAAAGATCCAGAAGGTTATTGTTGAACCTGTGGTTATTTTTTTTCTTGCAGTTTCAGAAAAACAAGCCTCTTATTGTCATGTTTTCTAATCCAAATTCATGTGATTTTTCTGAGATTGATTAAAAAACTCATGTCATCTTTGACTCTCCTTGAAGTTGAGAGAAGCCCAGGGGGTGGCGGCTGCGGAGGAGCCGCTTCCTCCCGCTGGTCTCGGCCGTGCTGGGCGGGGAGGTGGTTCATTTGCGGCTGGGAGGTGCTCGGGGACTCGGATTTGGGGGCCAGAGAGTCCCTGTCGCGCAGGAGCCTCAGAGACAGAAGGAGGTCATGGATGGACGCACAGAAGGACAGACAGATGGCAGACAGGGAGAGCTGGGCCGCTCCGGCCCCCCCCAGCACACACCTGGAGCTGAGCCCGGAGGAGTGGGGGCAGGGGAGGCGGAACTGAGAGCTGAGCTAAGGACCAAGGTCTGGAGAGAGGAAGAGGAGAGAGGAAGAGCGGGGATGGCGACAGCCTGGCGAAGGTCTCCACCTCGAGGTGGAGAGGGTGCTGCTGTGGTGCTGTTGGCCAGGCGGGGAGAGCCGTGGGGTGGAGAGGGGGGAGGTGAGGTGACTAAGTGGTGCCCCTGGGCCAGGGGGAGGGGGGGGCGCGGGCCCTGCTCAGGTGTGGCCCTGTGCTGGGGACCTGCTGCCTGCACAGCGGCCTTGGGCGCTGAGGGACGATCCTGGCGGCCGGTCATCCTAAGTGCTTGTCCTGGGACTGAGGTGCAGTGTCCGTGGGGCGCACTTGGCACTGGGGTGGGAAAGGCTGGGCAAGGGCGTGGGTCCCAACAGCCAGTGCCGGGAAGGTGCGGCTCAGGGCAGCGCCAGGCAGGCTGGAGGTGGGGAGCGGGGCCGGGGGCCGGGCGGTCGTCACGTTTGTGTTCTGTCCTAAACCACCACCTCCTCTGCTTTTGCAGCGGATGTGCTTGCCCTCAGTGCTCCGCCGCTGGACGCGACCCTTCGCCGGGGAGGGTCTCGCGCTGTGGCCCGGGTCCCTCTCCCTCCCGCCGTGCCGCACGCAGGCACGCTCTGCTGCGCCGGAGTCTGGCCGGCCCCGGGCGTGCCCAGGGGACAGGCGAGGGTGGGGTGGGGGGTGCTGTGGTGCAGACCGGCGCCCCTGGGTCATCGCTGGAATGGATCCCACTGGACCGGGGACAGACGGGTCCTGTCATCTGTCCCCCCCCACCAGGCCTGGGCAGGTGTTCCCCCTCTTTCCCCAGCCCTCCTCCCTGTTCCTGGTGATGAGAGGCAGCCGTAGCTGAGGGGGGAAGTTCCAAGTCAGTTAAGAGTCAAGCAATGTTTCTTTTCCAAATTTGCCTTCATTCCCATAATTCCCTTGACTGGGGTCTCGCTTATTCCTTCGCTCTGTCTCTAGAAAGGCTTCCTCGGGAGGTCCCCTCCAGGGGTCCCGGGCTGGCATCTCGCACCTGGGCTAGCACCTGCCAGTGGGGGTGCACAGGGGCCCCCCAGGGGGCTCCCAGGAGAGACAGGGTCCCCCAGGGGGCTCGCAGGAGAGACGGGGTCCCCCAGGGGGCTCCCAGGAGACGGGATCCCCCAGGGGGCTCGCAGGAGAGACGGGGCCTGGGGGGCCTGGGGTGTGGCCTGCAGAGGGGTGTGGGCTCGGGGGTGGGGCTGGGGAGCCGGGACTTGGGGCTGGATTTGATGCTTGTTTTTCAGAGTTCGGGGGTCGCTTCCAACTGTCTGGGTCCCTGGGCTGCAGGGGGTGGAACAGGAGACAGTCTGGTCAGGCCAAGGTCACTTCACCCCACCCAGAACCCTAAGTCTCCATTTCCCTGGGAGAGGTGGAGTCGCAGCCCCGTGGACCTCCCCAGGAGCTTGGGTCAACACCACTTGGTGCTGTGCGCAGGCCGTCCCTCAGACCCCAGGGACTAGGCAGGGAAGGCGATGGGGCAGAGGGCCCCCTGCTGGAATGGCGGTGGAATAACGGAGGTGCTTGCACTTGGGATTGAGACCCGAGGGTTCGTGGTGCAGGGGGAGGAGTGGGTACCTTGCCCAGGATTTCTGGACGCAGCCCGTTGGAGGCCTTGAGGAAGTCGGGATCCTTCTGTATCCATGCGGTGAGGGCGGCGGCACCAGCAGCGGAACGAGACGTCAGGGACACGCGGGCAGGGGGAATCCTCAGAGGCATCTGCCAGGTGCCCATGAAGGAACCCCAAGGGCTTGCCTAAGGGGAGGAAGACACGTTCCTCACCCCCAGAAACCGACTCATTGGCAGGACCCGTGTTCGCCTATTTCCGTCCTTACCTTTGGGGTGGGGCGGAAGTGAAACAAGACCGAAGCATCCCCCACCCCGCACAGGTTACCCTGTTTTGTCCACTGACCCTTGCTGGCCCAGTCCTGTGTCCTGGGGCTACACTGGGCGGAGTGACCACTGGGTAAGGGCCACCTGCAGGCACGCACTCGGTCCAGGTGGTCCTGCTGGGGGACCTGGCTGGGAGTCTGGGGCACTCACGTTGCAGTGTGAGTTAGAAGGAACTGTGGCGGCAGGAGACTCTCCCCCCTCTTGCTTCGGGTCTTGGAGAGAATGGAAGTGAGGGTCTCACCTTGGAGCGGGGCACCGAAGGCAGCAGGTGGCCACGGTCGTTGGCGATGACCTGGGTGTAGCCCTCGTGGGCCGGGATGCTCTGGGGCGGAAGTGGGGGGAGCAGTGCTGGGGGAACGGGCTGGGAAGCGGTAGCTGAGGGCTCGAGGTAGGGCTGAGGGTGGGGAGGGTGTGTGTGTCGGGGGGGTGGTGAACCACACAGCACCGAGCACAGCCAGAACCTGGCCTGGGGGCGCGGAGCGGAGCGGGAAGGAGTACCTCCTTGGTCGGCTTGGCAGGAGACCAGTTCTGCAGGTACTTGGGTGAGAAAGCTTTTTCATACTGTGGGGAGAGAGCCGAGCGTCGCTGTGAGGCCCCCAAACCCCAAGCCCAGGGCATGATGAGGGGACTCAGGTCTTTAGCTGTGAGGACCACAGGCCTGGACAACTGAGCAAGGCTTTAGCGAGGACATCGTGTGTTTGGTCTGAGTGTGTTTGGGTCCCATATGGAGCCTCCAGCCACCCATGGCCACCATTGGGCACTTGAAATGTGGCAGTCCAAACGGAGGTGCTTTGTAAATATCAAATACACCAGATTTTAAGGATTTAGTACAAAGAAGGAAATGTAAAACATCCGATTATAACTCTTAAAATACTGATTAAGCCCTGGCTGGCGTGGCTCAGTGGATTGAGTGCTGGCCTGTGAATGGAAAGGTTGCTGGTTCGATTCCCAGCCAGGGCCCGGGGGCCAGTCCCCCAGTGAGGGGTGTTTGAGAGGCAACCAGCTGATGTGTACCTCACACAGCTGTGTTTCCCTCTTTCTCCCTTCCCCTCTCTCTAAATAAAGTCAATCGATTAAATGTTGAAATAATATTTTAGGTTTATTGGGCTAAACGAAATATCTAAAGTAAAAAGTTTTATGTAGCTACTAGAAAATTAAAATTGCATTTGTGATTCACAGTCTTTTTATTGGACAACTCTTGCCTTAGACCGGGGGTCCGCAAACTGGGGTCGTGGGCTGGGTCCGCCCTGTCTGCTTTGGGGCCACCTGAGAAGCCATGAATGGTTTTCATAGATGAACGTTTGCGGTTGATTTGCTGAAAGGGAACACTAGCTTTGTGTCCCAATTAAGCAAAATGTTTCTCCCAAAAGAATTCTGTTCTTTTCATTAGTGTTGTAAAAAAGTTACACTCAGTTGTTATATTTTGAATGTTGTATTTTCTGTCACTAACGTGAGTAGCTACATGGTATTTCTGGCCACAAAGCCCAAACCCTTTAGGCCCTGGCCCTGCGCGGAAAGCCGGCCGCCCTCTGGTTCAGACCCCACAACCAGCCGGGGTCGCCTCCGCGGACCCTGGGCCCCTGCCCGGTACGGCCTCGCCCCACCCTGCCTGCCCGCGGGGTCCAGCCGCAAGGCAGACTCTTGAAGGCAAAACTAAGCCGGTCGGAGAAACGGGGACCGGGCTGCTCACCTGGTTGGCGCTGTAGTTGGCCATGGTCCTGCGACTTCGGCTGTTTACCCTGGTTGCCTGGCAACCACGGAGGCCCGCCTCTCCATGAGGCGCCTTTCCCGGGGGCTCCTCCCTGGTTCCTGTTTCCCGGGACGCCGCTGCTGCCCCCACCTTTTTCCTGGAAGTGAAGAGGAAATGCGCACCAGGAACTCAGCCGAGGTGCGGCCCTGTCTTTTCTAGCCCAACTCACTGCTGCTGACAACTGCCAGGGGGTCTCTGACTGGGGTCCTGCCTCGGTGACAAGCCCCAGCGCTGTCGCAGCTCAGTGGGCGCCGCTGAGACCCGATTCTAGGGTCCGCGGCTGCGTCTTCCAGCACCGCAACGAGGGGCAATGTTTTTGCCCCAGAAGGAAGAGCGTAAGTTTTCCGTGGTGGTCAGGGGTTCCCTGTCCTCCACCCAGGGAAGGTGCGTTGCCGGGCGGATGCAGCAGGTGGGCAGCTGGGGCTGGGCCCGAGCAGCACGGCCGCAGAAGCCTGGGTGGTGCCGGGGCGGACCTGTGGGCACTGCCACGCGACACATGACAGCCGTCTGGCCTGCCATTTCCTGTGAGGGCACAGACCTCCCTCTTTCGGAGTGGAGATCCCCACTCCGTGCCCCATAAAAGAAAAATAATTCTTTTTATTTATTTTTTTATTTTTTTATTTTTTTTAAAATGTTTTTTTTTAAAAGATTTTATTTACTTACTTTTAGAGAGGGAAGGGAGGGAGATGAGAGAGAGAGAGAGAGAAACAGAAACATCAATGTGTGGTTGCTGGGGGTTATGGCCTGCAACCCAGGCATGTACCCTGGCTGGGAATCGAACCTGGGACACTTTGGTTCCCAGCTCTCGCTCAATCCACTGAGCTACACCAGCCAGGGCTAAATAATTCTTTTAAAAAATTACTTACTGATACTTTCAGAGAAGAAGGGGGAGAGAGAGCACACAAGAAACATGGATTTATTATTACACTTATTGATACATTCATTGGTTGCTGCTTGTATGTGCCCTGACCGGGGATTGAACCCACAACCTTAGTGTTTGGTGCTCTAACCAACTTAGCTACCTGGGCAGAGCCAGGAAAGTATTCTTGATGACGCTTCCTGAGGAGTCTAGAGGACAAGCTGCAGTCACCGGGAACTACTGGACAGACATCGGTGTCTCTCCCTAGCAGTGACGGTGAACTTAGGTTTGCTTGCGTGACTGAGCATAGCTGGTATAATGGAAACCATGTGGCATGTGGCAGCTGTGTGCTTCGCAATTACGGGGTGGCCACGGAATCTGGAAATAGATACTGTTGTTTCGTGCCGTACGAAATACAGTGTCGACACTCACATAGGTGTTTGTTTGTTGCCAGGTTTCTTGGCCCCTGTGCGTCAAGCGCAGCTGCCAGCGAGGGGAGGGCAGGAGGGAGTGGGAAGAGCAGAATGCGCCCTGTTGTCAGAAACGGGCATTAGCGGGGATGGAAGGGCCCTGCCCTGGGTTGGGTGCGGGGCCAGGGCCCCAGCGGGGCGCTGGGGTTCCTGGACCGTTTCCCTGGGGTTCTGTACGGGAAACCCCCAGCCCCTCCTGTGCTTCTCCCTGTCTCACTGCCACACACAACACTCCCAGCACCAGGTGTGGGGTCCTCCTCGCACAGGCCATCCTGTGACACTACTTAGCTCAATTCTGACACCTGGAGAGAGCAGCCGGTCCCACCAGTTAAGGGCTCAGTCCCATAAGGCGGCCCCCACCTCAGATGTAAGTCCAGCTGTCACCTGTGCTTCCCACCGGTTCCCATGACCCCCTCCTCGGGGCCAACTGATCTGCTAGGGCAGCTCACAAAGCCCAGGGAAACACCTAACTTAGCGTTTGCAGGAGAACTTACCGATACAGGTGTATGTCCAGGTGGGAGAGACGCTGAGGGCGGGGACTGTGGGGAGGGGCCAGGGCCTCCACTCGGGCGACGGAAGCTCTCAGAACCCTGCACTCTCAGCTTCGTCACACAGGCATATATATGGGTTATTCACTCCATGCCCAGCTTCTCCCCCCGCTCTGGAGGGTGGGGCAGGGGGTTGGGACTGAAAAGTTCCACGTTTCTAATCATGTCCTGGCCCTTCCGGGGACCAGCCCCTATTCAGGAGCCACCCAGAGTCACCTCGTTAGAACAAAGACAAGTCTATCTCTAGGAAATTGCGGAAGTTTCAGGAGCTCTCTGCCAGGAAGGTGGAGGGTGGGCAGAGACCAGTGTGTACGCACATGTTTGTTCTGCCCTCACACATGCTCAGGTAGATGGTAGCCCAAGAGAGAGAGGCATGTGCATTGCATAAAAGTATTAGCATAAAGGCGACCATTAGAACGAAATACAAACTCTCCCCAAATCCAGAAGGTATGTTTAAAAGGGGAGAGGGGAAGAGGAGAAATTTGAAAACATGGATTTTACTCCTGGGTCAAAGGGAAAATTCAAATAGAGTTTTTTGAAAATAGTAATGAAAACCAGAATCTATGGGAAATAGCTTAAACAGCTATAGTAGAAAGGTTTATAGTATTAAATACCTATATGAGAGAAGGTAAAATAAGTGAATAAACGTACTAAAAAAACTAGGGGCAAAAAGGTAAACCCAATGACAGCAGAAGAAAGTAGTAGAAAGAATGATAGAGATTAGTGGGGTTTGAAAACAACAAAAATAGCATGAATAAACTTTCTTTGAGAAAATAAAATTCATAGCTAAACTACTCAAGAAAAAGAGAGGCAGCACAATATATGAAATTAGAAATAAAGAGACGAGAAAATAGTAAAGATATTCCATGTAAATATATTTGAAAATCTACATTAAATGGATAATTTTGGAGAAAAGCAATTTAACAAAATTGACCCCTAGGGAGAAAGAAAGTCTAAATAGACCATTTATCATAAAAGAACTGGAGTTCCCCCAAAGAACAAAACAGACCCAGATAGTTACACTAGAGGATTCTATCAAACTTTGCAAAAGAAAATTTTAACTTACGAAATTATTCTAGAGCAGGCAGAGGAAAGAAGACTCGCAGATTCATGTTGTGAAAGAGGTGTGATACTGAGTCCCAGCTCTGCCCTTTGGAACTGTGACAAAGACTAGAGCCAAAAAATACCGTAGACTGATTTCATTTACTAACACTGATGCAAAAATGTATCCAACAGCATGTTAAAAAAATTAAGGGAACGCCCTTCCAGTTGCTCAATGGGATGCTGTCCAGTTTGTAAACTGCTTAATAAAGGCAATTCGATCTTCCAGTTAAAAAAAATTACGACCAAGTGGTGAGTGCAAGGATGGATGGTCACATCAGGAAGTCCATTATTGTGATCTATCACACTAATTGACCCAAGGTGAAAGAAAGTATGATTATATCCACAGATGCAGATTAATGCACTTTAATACAACAACAACAAAAAGCAAAAAGGCAACTGAGAAAAATAAGTTAAAATTCTGTTACAAATTGTTGATATCTCTGTTTTTCAAAAAGCTTCTAGAAATACAGAAGAAAAAGACTAATAATAACCTTACGGAAAACTGGGCTACATATATAGTCAGACATACCACAGAGAAAGAACAAGTGCTGTTAACCATATGAAAAGAGGTTCAGCATCGCTCGTAAGTTCTTGAAACAATGCGAACCAGAGCTCCTGAGACTGGCTCACTTGCCCAGGCTGTGAGCAAACAAGCAGCCCAGCAGGCCGCACGAGGAGATGAAAAATGGCAGAAACTCCTTGGCGGGGAACCTGGCAATCTCCAGCTGGAACGATCAGCAGTGAAGTAATCCCACCTGCAGAAATCCGTCCCAAAGATACTCGGGCAAAACTACGAAGAGAGGTGGACACGACGAAACGCAGCATTGCCTGTAGCAGCGACAGAGTCCCTTCCACGCTACGGAGTATTAGGCGACTTTCAGAATCAGTGAGAAATACGCCACCATGGAGTCGTCCTCAAGACACACTTTTAAGTGAATAAAGCAAGGTGTATGGCATGTGAATAGTATGCTGCTGTTTATCAAAAAAGGAGGTGCAAATATATGTATTTCTAATATAAAAGTGATGGAAAGTTAAATGGTGTAATTAAACAGCAATTACTTCAAGGAGAGAGAAGGTGGGAAGGATGGGGTAGAAAATAAACTTCTGTGAATGTGCCTCGTTTTACAGAGTTGATTTTGGAACCAAGCAAACATCTCACACAATTACGAAAGAAAAGCAATTCCTAAAATTAAAAAAATGAATAAGCTCTCATTATTCATTATTTTCACAAGTTTTTTTTTTTTTAAGAGATAGTTGGCTGCAATACAAAAGCTGTATAAAGAAGTTAACGGCACACATTTCCTGCCGTTTCCTTTCCTGAGACCCGGTCTCCCTCTAGCGGAGGGTGGGTTCACAGCTGGCCCCTCCCACGCCGCCCCGCACGGGAAGAAAACGCGTCTGCACCCTGTCTGCTGCGGCCGCACCGTCCGGTTACCCAGGTACTCGAGTCACCGGGAGGGTGTGGCGGAAGACGGTGAGCAGTGGAACGGCAGAGTCAGCGACCGGCAAGCTCTGCAAGGAAATGGGGGAGGAGGGGGCTGAGAAGCCCTCGGAGCCAGGAAGGCCTGGGTTGCTCAGCTCAGCATCTGGAAGGAACTCCAGCTTCCTCGTAGCGGAGGGTTCCCACGACCTCCGGCCAGCAAGAGGCCATAAACACGCCACATCCCTGCGTGCCCCGGGGAATAGCTCCCCTCGAGGCTTTTGGGGAAACCCTGCTGAGAAATGGTGCTGGGCAGGGAGGAAGTCGGGCTCGCCCGAGCCAGACCCGGCCGAAGGGGGCGAGTCCAGGCCTCCCTCCCAGCACCCAGGCTCTCCCCGTCTGGCTGACCACCGACGTCAGACGGCGGCCAGGGAAGGTGCTGGCAGGGGCCGCCAGAGCCTGACCAGCCTACGTCCACAGTGGCCTCTCGCGGGAGTGAGGAGAGAGGCCCTGTGTCCTGGGCCCCCTGGGCCTCGTCCGGTTTCTGCGGCGGAGGACCCCCCCTCTACGGGGAGCCTTTAGGGGGGGCCTCGGAGGGCTGCTGCCTCAGCGTGCGTCTCTGACCTTCTTCGCAGTTTTCAGCAAGAAGACAAAGAGCAGTGATCACTAAAAACAGCCTGGTTTCCTG